CTAAACCCTAAACCCCCGAACCCCAAGGAGACCTTTAAGTCCTCAACTCGGAGTCCCCCACCTCGGGTTCCCAGAAGCCCCCACCCTGCATTAGGGCCTAAAGTAATGACCTACATTATGTTGGGGGGTTCCTTATTATAACTATAGGTAGAATATACCCCAAAGCCCTATTTGGGGGATTCCTTATTATTCTGTTCCTTTCTATTTATAGTATAATCTACCCCAAAACCCTATTCTTATTATTACGGCTCCCAAGGCCCCTCTTCAGCCAGAAGGCCTCCGCCGGCCCCCAACAGGGACCCGGGGAGGACGCAGAGGCACAGCTCCTGGCGGAGGCGGTGGCCAACGGCGACCTCTGGGAGGCATCGGAGGGTTTGGGATCTACTCATTTGGGGTTTAAGGTTTTTGGGGTTTAGGGTATAGGGTTTAGGGTTCAAGTTTTAGGGTTTAGGGTTTAGGGTTTAGGGTTTAAGGTTTAGGGTTTAGGGTCTACTCATTTGGGGTTCAGCTATCCACGCCGCTCTACGGAGGGAGAGGCCGCTTCTGGGCTCAGGGCTTGGGGTTCCTGGGGTTTGTATCGGGTTTAGGGTTTTAGGGTTTATAGGGTTTAGGGCTTCGGGAGTCTACTCGGTTTAGGGGCATAGAGCTTCTGTTGTGGGGTGCAAAGGGCTTAGATATAGATACAGTAGGGGTTAGAGGGTCAGTATGGAGTTCGGAAGTTGAGGCTGGAAAGTGGCCCATAAGGCTTGCTGTTGTGGTTTAGAGATGAGGCCGTTAGACCCTCAGGCCTGAAGCCTTTGTGGAATAATGTAGGGGCCTAATTACTTACCTATATTACTTTGGGGGTTCCTTATTGTAGCTATGGTATAGTGGGCCCAAAAACCTACTCTAAAAAATTAAGACGCCTACACCCTAAACCCTTTTAGTAGCCCTTATAGAACCCTTTGAGGAGCCCTCTAGAGGAACCCCAAAACCCTATTCTGAAGAAATTAAGGCACCTACATTAAGTCCTTGGAGGCTGGAACCCAGGACCTTTCGGAAGACCACCGAAGCCCGGCTTTCTGCTGCAGACAGTGTGGCATGTACCATCTCCGGTTCTGCTTACGGCCCGACAGTACGCTCTCGAACACAACAGCCGAGACTTTTGGAGTTTAGAGCTACTCCCGCAATACTAAATCCTGAAGCCTCAACTCCAAACCCTTTTGATTGCGGGGAGGCGAGTGCCCTCCTCGAGACGGGCCGCGCCTCCGTGAATTGTCGAGCTATCGAGGCGGGTTTACTGGGTCTGATGACACTGAATGAAGGCGTTGATGATGTTGGTGTAATGGCGGTGGTGATGTTAATGATGGTGATGAAGGCGGTGATGATAGATCATGTGGATGCTGGCGATAGTGGCCCCATCAGGAACAAGATAAACGCGGTTGCCATTGCGACCACCGTGATTGTACCAGGACTCGTAATCATAGCTGTGGTTCATGGTTCCTTCTGTATGTGCTTTGACGTGCCGTTGCTGCTGCTGCTACTACTGCTACTTCTTCTTCTACTCCGCTGACGACGACGACGATGATCTCCCCTCTGCATGGCATACCGATCGTAACCGCCCATGTGCATGGGTCTCATACTTAGTAGCAAAAAGGAGAACAAGAAGAGCAGACGTCAACACCAGCATTGATGCCAGCAAAGACTAGAGCAGCAGCACCAACATCAGCGCTGACAAGAATCTAAGAACAACATCACGAGCAAGACAAGCATAAACAACAACCACAACCACAACCAATGCCACAACCCCAACTGATCCATTTCGATACCCAAGCCCTAAGCCTAAGCCCAAGCCACATTCCAGGAGCACATGGGCTATCCCCGGTAGAAGGGCAGAAGGAGGACAGCAAAGCGAGACCTGCAACATTACATGGGTACAGACTTAAAGCTTAGAGTCTAGGGTTCTAGACTATACGAATCGAAACCATAAATTCGGAGCCCTCAATCCTAGGCCCTAAGCCCTATACCCTAGACACCGAACGCCATGCACAAAAGCCCAAAGTAACCGCAAATATCCCGAAGCCCTAGAGTTTCTGGAGCCCTAAACACCTAAACTCTAAAGCCCGATGCCCTATGCTTTAAACGCTATTATACATACATACATACATATATATATATATAGAGATATCTAGCTTTGTGTTGTTATTTTGAAAGAATGCAGGCATGTACAAGTATGTATGCATCCACACACACACATGTATATATATATATATGTATGTATACTTGTTTGTTTATTTATGTGCATACATATGTAATTATACATATAATTATACATACATATATATATATATATATATGCATTTAGCTATATATATATATATACCCTGATGTCAAAGCCACCCGAAGCAATACACTCCAGATCGTGACTCCAATTATCTAAAGACTCGTACCTTAAGGAGTTTGGGGCCCCTGCTATGAAGGCCAATGCCAGGGATCAGGTTCAGGCTTTATGGATTTGTCTCTACAAACCCAGAAGCCTTAAATTCAAGCCTTTGATGCCCAAGCCTTGACCTAAGCTGCCATAACCTCTCAATTCGTAAGTCCTCTATATTCTACCATGACCTTGCAACACCATAGTCTGTGGTGGGTTAAGGTAAGGATTAGCGCCTTCGTCTAAACCTCAAGCACCAAGCCCTGCGATGAGGTTTGGGGGGTTGGTGACGGTGAGGAGTACATGTTTGGGTTCAGGCATTTCAACAAGCAATACACCCTAAACCCGTTAAGTGAAGTCTCAACCACCCGACCTCCGTTGCTCCACCAACTCTAACCCCAATCCGAAATAGTGCGAACATCATGTTGTTGCCAAGCATCCGGCGATTACCAACGGCATCATACACCACAATGCCAGGTATGGCAACTCCAGGGCTACTGCATGCCCAGAGACTCCAAAACCCCTTAATGGAGGAATGTACCGTAAATTCAATAGGAACCCTAGTAAGATCTAAGGTATATTCCTTAATTAAGGGATATAGGTCTGTGTGTGCTATAAACGTGCCCCGACCTTGGAGTACCCTGCAAATGGGGTTGTCCGAAAATAGGTGACCCAAACATAGTACCCTAAATAGTAGGATCTCTATTTTAAGGACCCCAAAATAAGGTACCCCTTTATGTTCGGAAACTCCCTTCGGAAGGAGCCACAACCTACTGCCGTGGTGGCTCTCGATGTCGCTGGCGGGGCTTCTGGCATTCCAGGGTTTTTCCTGCACCGGCGGCGCTGCATCCGCAAAGGGTCCGAATTACTGTTATGGGGGCATGCTTCCCTAACTCAGAATAGCAATTCCTGATATAGACACCCCACCTTCTGCTATATAGGTACTTAGGACCCTTGACATCTTCAGCTTTGTGGGACGACTGATGATGCTAAAGCAGCAACGGCGCTGCATCATAACATCTCTTAATGGCGACAAGGAGCCCTCATAAAGCCCCTAAGCCCTGAACCCTAAACCCTAAACCAAACCAGAGGGAGCTCTTCAGCTCTGCAGCCACCCCCAAAGTGTAGAAGCCCTTTGAAACCTCTAAACCCTAAGCCCTAAAACCCTAAAACCCTAAACCCTAAACCCTAAACCCTAAACCCTAAACCCCTAAACCCTAAACCCTAAACCCCAAACCCCAAAAACCCTAAACCTTTAAACCCAAAACCCTAAACCCTAAACCCTAAACCCTAAACCCTAAGCCATGCAGGTGAGTACCAGGGCGCCGCTGCAGAAGCGATGAGGTTCGATGCGCTCACCTCCTCCCCACACAACCAAAAGATGCCTAACCCCGCCAGGTACCTACTATCCCTAAGGCTTCATGTACCTTTATAGTAGATACTTCGGCCTTAAAGTACCTACATAGGGACCCCTTTAAGGCCTAAGTATCTACTATAAAGGTCCATGGAGCCTTTGGGTATACAGGGCCCCAGGGCTCTAGTCCCCTCTTTAGTAGGTAACTGGGGGGTTAGGGGGATGTTCCTTGAAGATAGGGAAGAAGCAGCCTTTTCGGGTTTATACTGTAGGGGCCTTAATAATGATTAGACTAGGGTTTTAGGGGGGGAGACCGGGGGAGATAGGGGCTTCAAGGTCGGCGTTTGTGGGTTTTCGTTTTTTTGGGTTCTGGTGCCGGTAAAGGTTGCAACGGGTTTCTTCATGTAGGGGGCTGCCCCCGTTGCCGGAAACGCCCAGAGCTGATGGCTGCTAAGCCAGTTTGGGTTTAGGTGGCAGGGTCTTTCGGACTTGTAGGAACCATAACCCTAAACCCTATAAACCCTAAACCCTAAACCTAGTCCTAGTACAGACCCGGAGTTTCTTAATCAGGTGTCTATATTACACCCTAACCCCTAAACCCTAAACCCTAAGCCCTAAACCTTAAACCCTAAACCTAAAGCCCTAAGCCCCAAAGCCCTAAGCCCTAAGCCCCAAAGCCCTAAACCCTAAACCCTAAGCCCTAAACCCTAAACCCTAAGCCCTAAACCGTAAACCTAAAGCCCTAAGCCCCAAAGCCCTAAGCCCTAAGCCCTAAACCCAAAGTCCTAAACCCTAAACCCTAAGCCCTGTTAGAGAGTCTAGGGCTCAAGGGGTTTGCAGGGCTCTAAGGCTGGGGTCTTTGAGGGACTTTTTGCTCTCTTGGGGGCTACTTAGGGTTTAGGGTTTCGGGTTTAGGGTTTAGGGTGTCTCTAGAGCTATTCTTTGGCGGTTTAGAGTGTTGGGGTTTAGGGTTTGGGGTTTACTTTGGGGATTTGGGGTTTGGGGTTTGGGGTTTACTTTGGGGCTTTGGGGTTTGGGGTTTGGGGTTTGGGGTTTGGAGTTTACTTTGGGGCTTTGGGGTTTAGGGTTTGGGGTTTGCTTTAGGGCTTTGGGGGTTTAGGGTTTTGGGGTTTAGGGTTTAGGGGTTCGGGGTTTGGGGTTTAGCCTGTAAATTGGCGTCGTTGGAGTCCGAGTAGACAACACTTCAATCAGGTCTGGCACGGCAGACTTCTGTTGATGTGTATATGCCTCTGTGTCACATGACGTTGAGCATGGACTTGCCAGCGCCAGCCCATGCAAGCCCTCTCTGCAATGCTGCTGCTGATGGATTATGGTGAAGACCAATTACCATACATTGCCATACATCTAACGGTTAACAACTACAAATGTGAGGTTAAGAGGAAGAATGCCCATACTCTAGGCCAGTCAAGACCAATGCAGGAATCAGGAACATTGTCATCAACCGTGTTGCCCCGATCATGTGCGGCTGGGAGTGCTGTTTCAGCAGCACAGATAAATGCACCGCCCTGCGACGGCATGGAGGCAGAAATCGTCTCGCCGAGTTGGTTGACAAAGCACATTTACTGATACCGTCTCCATGCAAGCAAACGCCCTCTGTGCGTGTGATGATCAACGAGGCTTCACCAAGCGACGTGCTGCTGGTTAAACCCGGCAGTGACCGCAGACAGAAGTTTCTGGTGCCAGCCGCCGAAAGAGACAAAGGGGCTGGCAATACATGGACTTGCAGACATGATGTAATTCAGGGGCCTGAATAATTACCTTTACCATTTTGGGGGCTCCTTCTTATAATTGCAGTATGATGGGCCCCAAAATCCTATTCTAATTATTAAGGCCCCTCCCCTATATTAGACACAATTGGGGCAAGAATGCTGGTGGATGGGCCACGATGAGGACAAGCATTCCCTCAGGATCCATGTGCCCAAATGGTATCTGCTTTGGCCTGAAAGTAGCCCCCCCTATTTCGGTACTTGGGGGAGAATGTACCTACTTCCTATGTGGGTACATGAACCCCTCAATAAACATTTCTGGTAATTCTAGGGGGTACAGGACCGTAACGTTAGTATATTTGTGCTCTGTAAGGGTGACCATCAGGGGCTACTGTAAAGAACTGGGCTTACTGTTAAGGGGGGGTGCTCGAGGTTACTATCAGCGTTCTATCGGGGATACTACAAGAGCCTTTACCTAAACCCTCAACCCTAAATCCTAGCCCCTAAACCCTAAACCTTAAACCCTAACCCCTAAACCCTAAGCCCTAAACCCAAACCCCTAAACCCGAAACCCTATAAACCCTAACCCCTGTACCCTACACCCAAACCCCTAAACCCTAACCCCTAAACCCTAAACCCTACCCCCTAAACCTTAAACCCAAACCGCTTTTGTGGAGCATGCAGGTCGCTGATCAATCCAACCCAAAGGCCCGGCCCGGGGTTGGCCCAGAAAGCGGAGTTCAGGGTGTTCGGGTTTGCAGGGCTTTCAGAATTGAGGGTTTAGGGTTTGGAGTTCAGGGTGTTCGGGTTTTCGGGTTTGCGGGTTTTCAGGGTTTTCAGGCTTTAGGGTTTAGGGATTATATTGTGTTCGGGCTTTCAGGGTTTATAGGGTGTTCGGGCTTTCAGGGTTTGGGGTTTATAGGGATCAGGGGGTTTAGGGTTTTCGGGCTTTCAGGGTTTAGGGCAGTATTTAGCGTTTAGCGTTTATAGGGTTTAGGGGGTTTAGGGGTTTAGCGTTTAGAGGGTGTTCGGGCTTTCGGGTTTTCAGGGTTTTCAGGGTTTAGGGTTTAGGGGGTTTAGGGGTTTAGGGTTTAAAGGGTTTAGGGTTTAGGGCTGTTGGAGTTTTTGTTGTAGGGCTATCAGGGTTGAGGGCTTTTTGGGAACAGGGTTCAGGGCTTAGGGTCTGAGGATGCGGTTCAGGGTCTGAGGTTTGATCGGCTTAGTGGTTTGTTGTGGGATGGTTGCTAGTTGAGGAGCATGGTCACAGTCTGACACCAAGTTTATGGTTCCCTAAAGGTTCCAAGTAGACGGATAATAGTCTTGTTCGGCTTCCATCAGTTCCAACAGCATGTAGATTCATGCCATTTACCACGTCCCACAACATCTATCGAAGGCTTAGTCGTAGAGTAGGTAGCTTTTAGCTTCTTGGGCACCATAGTCCCTATAGAACCCCAAAGGTTAACCTTTAGTTCCCCCATGATACCGGCAAAGCAGCCTCTGACGCCGATCTACAGGGCAAAACCGTAGGCTCCAACCCAGAGAAAACAGCACAACGCCAGTTTGAGGGGATTGAACCCAAGACCATGAGCCCCCCGAAACCCTAAGACCCTGAAGCCCTAAAGCCCTAAAGCCTTAAACCTTAAACCTTACACCCTAAACCCTAAATCCTAAACCCTAAGTAGTAGTAGTAGTAGTAGTAGTAGTAGTAGTAGTAGTAGTGGTAGTAGTAGTAGTAGTAGTAATAATCATTGTAGTAGTCCTTAAACCCTAAACCCTAAATCCTAAACCACAAATCCTAAACCCTAAACCCTTAATCCTAAACCCTAGACCCTTAATCCTAAACCCTAAATAGTTGTAGTAGTGGTAGTAGTAGGAGCTGGAGCATGGTAGATTTGGCCTTCAACCCTAAACCGAACCGTAAGTCGCCTTGGACGGCCTTGAAGGAACCCTTCAAGGATCCCGAGAAAGCGGCCTTCATAACTAGAACTGAATAAGGTTTAGGGTTTAGGGTTTAGGGGCCTTAATAGTTAGACTTGGGGCCCATTATACTATAAGTAGAATTCGCACCCCCCCCCCTCAAATAGTATTGGTAATTATTTAGCCCCCTACTTCAGAAAATAGCCGTACTCCAAAGCGATGGCGCGGCTTTCCCGCAGCCTCGTAGCCGCTGCTGCGCTGCTTCTCGCATCCTCGATCTTCTTTGCCGGCCTCTTACGGTTTACACGGTTCAGGGTTTAGGGTTTAGGGTTTAGGTATAGCCATATGGTTCTGAGATAGCAGCAGTGTAGGTTAGTACCTGGGAAAGTATATGAGCATAACATACTACAACTATAATGAGGAGCCCCCAAAACCCTGTTGCAATTGTTAAGACTCCAACATTAGGTTTGAGGATTCAGGGTGCTGGGTTCAGGGTGGTAGGGTCATCGAAGTTTCAGCTTTCCAGGGTTGCATGGCTTAGGATCAGGAGACAAGGTCAGGGTGCCACGTGCGGTGCCCGACCAGCAGCACCAAAAATGCATCAGAACCCTTGAGAAGAGATCCCTCGTGCCTTCCTTCCCTTCCGGCCGTCCACAAAGTCGGTGCAGCCTTTGATGCATGCCGTCTGGCAGAGTTGCCTGGCTGAGCGGATAAACACAGAAACATTTTCGGATCTGCGTTTGATTCTCCGGGCGCTAAAGACATATTAGTTTGCCACAAAGCGGCAAATCACTGCCTTACAAAGTGAGATTTCCCGATAGCGTTCTGTAACAGGGCACCTAACATGTTGGAGTTTCACACTTGCTTGCTGGGAAACACAGCCTTAGAAACTGCGAGTCTTCAATAGCTTGCTGCAGTGCAGTATCCAACATACCGCAAAATACACGGCTTAACTATGTTTGATGTAGTCTGATTCATGACCATGTGTGCTACTGCGTTTGTTATTTTTTTAAACAGCCGGTGTGGCTTTTTTAGTGGATTCTTATCGATTTTTTGTTCGATCCGGCAGGCTTTCAATCATTATACTGAATTACATGTACATGGAACAGGCTACTGATTCACTGTATCCTACTGTTCCCCACCCTCGGTGTGGGGTTGTTATAGATTTTAAAGTCAGCCATTATTCCTCGCCCGCTGAGACTACCTCCTGGAGGGCCCATAGCACATTCTCCGCGGAGAACATCCCATGCCACCCCTCCCCCATACCGCCGTTGGGTAGACTATTTCCTGCGTACCCCCAAGAAGCCCACCCTAACTGCCTAGAGTGATGCCATCCGGTCGGGGGCGGTCTGGGTCTGTCATAAGCTGGCCAAGCTCGATTGAGGATTGGGTCCTGCACCATGCCGACGAATTTCTATCTGCCTCAGTTACTTACGCTTTATGGTGAGTAAAGATGCAGCCCATTTCGTGAGAGCTTCTGGTTTGTAACACACAGAGAATAAATAAGTAACTGCACAGCGGTAGGAGGAACAACAACAACAACAACAAGCGAGGTAATTAGCCATAAGCAGCGAGAACGGAAAGAATGTAACGAAGGTCAACAGGAAGGAAGGATGACATACAACACCAAAAGACAGACAGGGAGAGCGAATTGAAGGACGACGGAATTGCGCAGAAGCAAGGAGAGAGGGATTGAAAAACAGATGCAGCAATGGCTTCTGCCTTCCGCCGTGTCCAAAGAGCAGAGAGCTAAAAGCAAATATGACTAAAAGGAAGACAATGTAGAGTCTCTGCATCGAAGTCCAAACCCTAGGCCATACGACGTCAAATATACGAATGGTACCCACTTCGGGGTCTAAGGCCTATCAACAATACCTACTTTTGTGGAAATCTAGAGTGTTGGGGAAAGTCAGACCTAGGCCAGTTCCTGGCGCCGCTGCTTTGCTGTTGTGGACTGGAGGGCTGCCCACCCGGAGGAGGGACGAAGTGCCTATTCTTCCCGTCATGCGGAACGTGGTCAACACGGACGTAGATAGATGCATACATACGTGCATACATGCATGCATACATCCATCCATACATACATGCATACATACATACATACATACGTATATACGTACATACGTACATACATACATACTCACATACGTGCACACATACATACATACATACATACATACACACACCCAAACTTACACTTCAACATATGTATATGTCCCTCTATCTATCTATCTATCTGTCTATCTATTCATCTATCTATCTATCTATCTATCTGTCTGTCTATCTATCTATCTATCTATCTATCTATCTATCTCTCTGTCTGTCTATCTATCTATCTATCTATCTATCTATCTATCTATCTATCCATCTTTCCATCTATCTATCTACCTATCTATCAATCAATCTGTTTGTTCTCTACCTTTCTATGTATATGTCTACTTATCCATCTATCTATCTATCTATCTATCGATCTATCTATCTATCTATCTGTCTATGTGTCTATGTGTCTACAAAAAGTCTATTCAAATTAAGGCCCCTACATTATAGGGTTTATGCGGGGGCGAACTCGCATTGAAGACCCTCCTTCAACCATGCCGGCATATGTAACATGTGTCTGGAGATTGTTTGTTGGAATTTCTAACCCCAAACCCTAAACCCTCCTCACGCAAGGACCCGTGGTCGTTTCTAGCATGGATTGTAAGTAATGTAGGGGCCTTAATAATAGGATTGGGTTTTTGGGGCTCCTGGGTACAAATATAGTATAATATTCACCCAAACCCTATTATAATAGTTAAGAAGCCTACATTATTCAACATCCCAAGCTCTGAACTTGAAGCCGCAGCGCCGTCAAAGTGTCAAGTTTATGTTTAGGGGCTTGGGGGTTTTGGGTTTCGGGGTTTACGGTTTCTGGGTTTAGAGGTTTCGAGGTTAGGGGTTTAGGGTTTGGGGTTCCGGGTTTCAGGGTTAGGGGTTCCGGGTTTCGGGTTTAGGGGTTTAGGGGTTCCGGGTTGAGGGTTTAGGGGCCTGAGAAAAGAAAACCTTGGATCCCGAACTTCAAGGCTTGATTTAGGGTTTAGGGTTTAGGGTTTAGGGTTTAGGATCTGCCCCGCCCCGTTCCATCCCAAGGCCTCCGAGCCTCGACCCTCAACTTCACACCCTATGTAGCTATACTGCAAAAACGCTAAACTCTCGACCCTAAACCCTAAATCCCAAACCCTAGACCCTAAGCCCGGAACCCTCAACCCTAGACCCTAAACCCTCAACCTTAGACCCTAAACCTTAAACCCTAAACCCTAAACCCTCACGCGTCAAGGTGCCATGGAGGTAGTGGAGCTGCAGCTTCGGGCTCTTCAAGAGAAGCTTGTCTTTTGAGAAAGGGCGTTACTGCTCTTTAGCATTATAATTGCTCCCTACCTGTAGTTTCCTTTAAGGTCTTAAACATTATGTTTTTGATTTCTTATAAAAATATAACTCCAGGGGGTTAGTGAGAAATAAAATCTTGTTTTAGTCTGGTTCTACTGGCGGCTAAGAGGGCCCTTCTATCTAGCAAGCGTCGTGCAGTCAGGGTTTAGGGTTTATGCGCTTCAAGGCGCAATTCGGGTTTAGGGGGCCTTCTGTCTTATGAACCCTGAAGCAATCAGGGCGACCCTAAGCCCTAAACCTTCGCAGGAAAGCCGGGAAAGTATGAACATGGATTTATAGCGATGAGCACTAGGATCCCTTATGCTTTACATTAAGGGCACCAGGACCATGAGGTTCCAACTTGCTGGCTAAACCCTATAATGCCTAAATTTATAGGGTTTAGGGTTTAGGGGTTTAGGGTTTAGGGTTTAGGGTTTAGGTTTTTTTTTAATCCTTAGCCCTTAACCCTAAACCCGAAAGCATAGTGGCTGTATACCTCTCAAGCATCCTCTGGGAGCGACCCGAGGCTTCATTAGAAAAAGCGTCTTGGGCGGCTCTCAGGCATTTTAGGGTTTACCTGGGCCCTGTAAACACACCTTTATTTTTCGGGCTTCATCACGGCTTCCTCAGGAAGGAACTTGTAGGTTATGTGAGCTTAAGCTAGGGTCTAGGGTCCTTCTGTTCGGGAGCCTCCTGTTCCGGTTGTACATAAAGGTAGCATTACTATTCTGAAGCTCCTAAGCATCTGTCCGATGAGGTGCGCAGGGTTTGGGAGAATGCATTCTCTCTGTGAGGCATCTACATGATTTTGAAGCGGTGTTGTAGAGGATTGTGTTGGTTGTGTGTAGCCGCCATTCCCCCACCCTACGCAGAAACAGTCGAATGTACTGTAGACGAGGATGCTTTGTGACCGTGAGGTATCGAGTGCTTTCATAGTTGCAGTTCTTCTGCGTTTGAGGTTTGGGGCTTTAGACGGCTTAGGCTTAGCCTTTATCTTCATGAACAAGGGGTAGTCTTTGTAGGTTCTCGGACCCCCGGCCGGTAAATGCAAGTCTGCAACCCTAAAACCGGAAGCCTCAAGCCCAACACCGCAGCAACCGGTTTGGGGTTTAGGGTTTAGGGTTTAGGGGCAACCAACGACGGCAAACCAAAACAGTAGCGCCAAGGAACGATATGGCCACCAGCGAGGGTATCGCCAAGACCTTCGAGTTCGCCTCCCCGAGCAATCAGGTGGTGTCGGGAGAGGGGTTGTATATAGGGTTTAGTCGATAAACCAATCAGGGGGTTAAATGGGGCTTAAGGCCTTTGGCAGTGTTGGTGGTTTATTTAACCCTAAGCCCTATACCCTATTCCTAGTTCTCCAATACCCGACCTTTAAACTTTTTCTGACAATTTAGTAGTAATCTGACGTGACTTATTGGGGAAGTAAGTACTTATGGTTTGAGGGATGTGGCGCCTTTAAGGTTCGGGTTAGGCTCAGGTTTTTGGGGGTTCAAATCTTCTTGGGCCTGATTCTACTGCTGATGATCTGAATCCTGCATTACCTTAAGGACCCCAAAACCATGGGATTTATGGTATATTCCTTATGATGGACCACACTCAAAAAGCAAGTATTTTTGTTGTCTTTAAGATATACTCTTTAAGGATTGAATCTTTTTAAAGCCTTTAAGATATACCCTTTAAGGATTGAACACGTGGGAGATAGCAGTCAAGAGCTGAAGGAAGGTTTTTGGAGAACTCGGGCAACACACGCTTGATAATTAGGGTTTAGGGTTTAGGGTTTAGGGTTTAGGGTTTAGGGATAATAATCAGGGAGCTTCATTTAAGATTACCAGAGTCCCCATAATCGCGGAAACCTGAAACCGTCATTAAGACCTTAACCCATACAACACTAGCCGACGCTGAAAAACTCAAGTCTCAGAACCCTTCAAACCTCAAGGTTTGACAGTTTGAAGCAAAGCCTGCACACCCGGACGTCGTCGGTTGTGGTGAGGGATAGACCCGGAGAGCCCAATACCAGTTAATTAAGGAATATACTTTAAACCATAATATTAGTGCCCCGATAACTTGAGGTATATTCCTTTAATTAGGGCGTCTTGGGCTCTCTGGGGAAAGCTCCTGACAAGCTTAGGGTTTAGTGAATCTGCAGTAGTAGGCTATGGACATATACTTGTCTTACTTACGTTCATGTATGTCTATAAGTACTTGTGTTCACACTTTTTACACATATCTATGTACACGACATATGTATATATATATATAGAGAGAGAGAGAGATATGTGTATGTATAGTTACGAATGTTTTAGACGAACAACAAGAACAATTACACAGATAACGACATGCGTGTGCATGTTCAGCGTATATCTGTATATTTATGTACACACATGCTACACACAGATACATACAGATACACACTCGCAGTAATTGCCAATTCCTCCCCAGATCCCCCTCGCGCCACCGCCTCCACCCCACGAACCTTAAGGACGAAATGAACCCTAAAAGGGTTTAAGGTTCATATACCATATAGGCCCTACTTTTAAGGGTGATTTTGTCCTGAGGGGAACAAGTACCCCCTCGCCCTCGCCGCCTTCCTGCGTGGGCAGGCCGCCACGGGGCCTGTCGAGCGCTTTGCCGAGATGATCTACCTCGGCTACCCCATCCTCCTGCTCCGTGCCGTCTTATCGGGTTTAGGGTCTAGGTTTCCTGGTTGTTGCTGCTATTGGCCGGGTCCGCTAGGTTTAAGTTTGGTTATCCGCATTTTGTTTGCTTTTGACTTAGGAATGAGACGTTGCGGATGATTTGGATAATCCTTACACTCCTTGTCGCGTTCGAGGCTTACCGCTGTTATTGTTGGTTCGACGTCACTTTCGGTCCTTCATCATCTCCCCGAACCCTGGACCTCCCAAACCAAACTCGATGCACGATTTAGGGTGTAGGGTTCAGGGTTTGGGGTTTAGGGTTCAGGGTCAAGGGTTTAGGGTCTAGGGTTCAGTGTTTAGGGTTTACGGAACCTGGAAGCCGTCCTTAGAGTCTCAATGCCTAAGCCCCAAAACCCTGAGCCCCTCCTGCACGCCCAGACACCTCAGTAAGCGTTCTAGTTACCCTTGTAGAGGCCACAATCTTGATAGCAACTTAGCAGCCGCTATAGCAGCCCTCATAGTAAGCCCGAGTCGTCGGTACTCCAAAAAATCCTGTAAAAGAACTGTTGAAGACAATTTAAAAGGAATATCAAGAAGCACATTAAGCCCATAAACCCTACACTCGAAGCCCTAAACACCTAAGCAATAAGCCACAGGAAGCCAAAGGAACCCGCGTAGCAACCAGGAAACTCTATAGTATAGAAGCCTGAGTAACTACCAATGTTATTCCTCAGGCTCCCGGCTATACCTGTGCTACACTACACCCCAAACCCTGTTCAGATCATTAGGCCTCAAACCCTAAACCCTAAACCCTAAACCCCAAACCCTGTTCAGATCATTAGGCCTCTACAGTATGCTCCAAACATAGGAACCTTCTCTCATCCAAGAAACTCAAAGCAGCCCTTAGAGGAACCCTGAAGGCCCTACGCTCTATATATATATATATATAAGGGTTTAGGGTTTAGGGTTTAGGGTTTAGGGTTTAGGGTTATTATATATATATATATATACCTACTTATATGTATATATTCTAAACCAACCCTACACCCCAAACCCTGAACCCCTCAACCCTGGACCCACTCGAAGTCTGAGGAACTCAAAGCAGTTCACTCTCCTGTCAGCCCTGAAACTCGCCGAGAACGAGTATGCAATCCGAGTTGAGGTGGAAGGCTGGGCCTGTGTTGCTTGTGATTTTGTTTTTTGTTGGGCTTAGCGTCTAGGGCTTCACCATAACCTACCAAAACCTATTTTTTGTAGGTTCTCATTAAAAACCCTAATGTGGAGTTTATAGGGACCCTACAAAAAAGTAGGTTTTGGAGGATGTAGGGGTTAGGGCTACAGGGCTTTAGGGGTTTAGAGTAAACCTCAAAATGTTGGAAACCGGATTAAGGACAATTAGTGCTGCGATTCCTATGCATGGCTCTGAAGGACTGAGGCTTTTGGGTTTCCAACTTTTGGGCTTGTACTGTAGGGGTTTAGGGAACCCTGAGGTACATGGGCCGGCAAGCAGATCTTCGTCTGGCTGCTGAGCAACACGGCAGGGTCATCCCAGGTTCAGGGTATAGGCGAAGTCCTACCAGAACTAAGCGCAGGGTACTGACTCAGTGCTTACGGAGGCGTCATCTGTTTATGACTTTGTAGGTTTTTTGGGGCAAGTAAGTGCCGTGACGAGTATGACATTGACCCTAAATCTTGAAAACCTACAGGTTTCTGTTTATAGTTATATGCTATAGGACACCTCAGAACTCAAGTATGATTATTAAGGCACCGTGTTCCTACATAGTGAGTTGTTCTTATGTTCTATACAAAACAGTCAGTGTTCATCGCCGAGTAACCCACCACATTGGCAATTAGGTTTGTAGGGAAAGGCGCCCGAAACCTCAGTCTGAATCAAGGGACTAGAGGAGGGACCCTTAAAGGGACCCTTGGGGTTATACAGGCGCTTTATGAGACTATATAACGGGTATATAAGGGTTATATAGGGTATATTTGGATTAGGGGTCCCTTCTAGGCGTCCCTCCTATTCTCCCTTAACTGAATGATCCTGCCTTGTTGTACGTGTCCGTTGAGAAAATCCACCTTACCCAAAGGCACCATGTACCTTTATAGTAGATACTTAGGCCATAAAGTACCTGCATAGGGACCCAGTTAGGGCCTAAGTATCGGCTATAAAGGTAAATGGAGCCTTTGGGTTAGTCAGGTTCTTATGAAACAGCTTGGCTTAATTCATTTGTCATGCGGAACCTATGTCCTATGTCACGCACGATGTATCCCTATTCCTGTGACCGAGAGTCAGTAGTCTTCAGGGTCATAATGCGATCCATATAAGTTCCCAGAGACCTTGCGTCAGACCCAAGGGAGCTCGACAGGTAGTTAATATATGGGCCTACCTAATTTCCATCATTATACTTAAAGTATACTGTGCCCCAAAACATTATTCCATATATTTAGCCCTTTGTATTATGCACAACCCTAAGGACTGTTGGAACTACTAGTTAGTCAGACCCGGGGAAGGTCGACAGGTCATTATGCACAACGTCCAGGGCTTCTCTCCTAAACGGGTTTAGGGTTTAGGGTTTAGCGTTTAGGGTAACTCCAGTACCTCATAATTAGGCTCTTTGGACCTTTGGGGCAAGATAAAACCTCAGCATCTCGACAGTGGCCTCTGTGTGAGAGACATCGCTTCCTCTGGGTTTGAGGCATGGCTAGTTTATCCGAAGCCCTACAGATTTGAAGACCCGAGCTTCTAGAGCTAGGTCACGCTCTAGACTCTCCACCCTCTACACTTATGCAGGCGAACACCCTCAGCGGGCAAATCATCCAACTTCCAAACCAAGCAAAAGCTCGAATGTATGAACATTTGGTGTTCGAGACTCCCTTTTAACCCCATATGTCGCCCAAACCGTATTCACTTGTTTCAGGCCCCTATACCTGACCATGGCGGTTGGCAACGAATGACATGGGGTCCGTTCCAATGAAAGCTGTAGTAAAGACTATAGCTTTGGACCTTCGAAATGGCGTGGACACCGTCTAACGACGAAACTTCAAGCAGGAAAGGATCAAAGATCCTAAGAGCCTTCTGCACTGAAGTTATAGCTGTGGAGCGCTACACCCTGAGTTCTCAAGCGAAAAACCTGAAAATGGGTAGTTCTCTAAATTAGGGTCCTTTTTAGGGTCCTCTTTATAAGGGTGCCGTACTATATTGGGGACCTACAAGGGGACCCTAATTTAGATAACTACCCAAATATGGACTTTGGGCCAAGGTAACGCAGGCGATGGCACTGGCTGGAGAACGAACTCGGTGATGCCAGATGGCGCGGAGTGATCAGCCTGGCATTATAGGGTTTAGGCTTTAGGGGTTTAGGGTTTAGGGTTTGGGGTTAAGGGTTTAGGGTTTAGGGTTCAGGGTTTAGGGATTTCGGGGTTTAGGGTTTAGGGCTTTGGGTTTAGGGTTTAGGGTGTAGGGTTGAGCCTGGCATCGACGCCTTTCAATGCTTAGGGCCTTAGTGTAGGGCTGAACAATGCCGGATCCAAGCCCTTAAGTCGTCCCTCCTACACTCGTCGTAGTATCATAGTCTACTATAGAGTCAAGGCCGACAATCGGAACTTCTGTATCCTGAAATTCTAGGTTTGTTCGATCCGCAAGTTTCTACCAGAGCATCCCACAAGTGGATGGCAACAAAACCTACGGGCGACGGGAACGCATCGTTTCTGACGACAAAGATCTTCGCGCCTGTCTTCTTGTTCAGACCGTGACACGGTTGGACGATCTGAACCCGTGGGCTTCTCTACAAGGTTTAGGGTTGAGGGGTTTGGGTTTTAGGGTTTCGGGTTTTGGGGTTTAGGGTTTAGGGTTTAATTAGGGTTTAGGGGCCTTGGGTTTAGGGTTTAGGGGTTTAGGGTTTAGGGTCGCCTTGAGATTTGCATTGTTCCGCTCAGGTTTGGGTCTAGGAAGCAGGAGTTTTCCTTGTCGGACGGCTGCAGGTTTTGGTTCAGGGTTATGGGTTTCGGGGTTTTGCGCCAAGAGGGTAGCTCTCTGAATTAGGGTCCCTTTTAGGGTCCCTGTCATCAGGTTGCCGTATTCTATTTGGGACCTCAAAAAGGACCCAACCTTAGAGAACTACCCAAGAGTTGAGGGTTTAGGGTGTGGAATTCCTGCCCCACATCCACCGTCCTAAATCAATGATCGAAGTGTAGCCCTTAGCGAAACCCTGAAGCCTATAAACTATTAAACCCTAAACCCATTGCATTTAAAATACCCTAAGCCCCAAAACCCCAGCACCCTAAACCCCTAAACCCTAGGGACCGAAACCCTAGACACTAACTCGAACAGAAGGGACCCCAGCAATCAAAACCAGGACCAGTCGGAAGCTTGAACCCCAAGAGCTAACTCGAATCCCAAACGAACCCCATACCTTAAGGACGAAATGAACCCTAAAAGGGTTTAAGGTTCATATACCATATAGGGATTTATAGTATAAGGGTACAGGGACCCTACTTTTAAGGGTGATTTCGTCCTGAGGGTAGGCCCTTAAAAGCCCGAGATTTACTAAACCCTAAACCCTAAAGAAGAAGGACTGTAACAAGAAAAGGTTCTGTGTTTGCCAGGGGTCCGCGGCCCTCGAAGAAGCGCAGGCGTGAGGCGCATCTGGGACACCCGTGAAACCTTGAATCACCCCAACAGGGTTTAGGGTTTAGGGTTTGGGGTTTAGGGTTCTAGGGTTTAGATTTAGGGTTTAGGGTTTTAGGGTTCAGGGTTTAGGGGGTTAGGGTCTATAGAGGTTAAAGAGGGAACCAGAGAGCCCAAGACGCCTTAAGTAAGAACTAGGCCTTAAATTCTGGGGTGCCTTAATACACGGTTTAGGGTTTAGGGTTTAGGGTTTAGGGTTTAGGGTCTCTTCCTTAATTAAGGGGTGTTGGGCTCTCTGGGGAACGGAGGGCAAGTTCGGCAAGGTCTGCGAAGAGATCCGCGCGTTCCCGCAGATCCGGGGTTCCACCAAGACAAGACCCAGAGGGTCCGAGTACCCAAATAGTAAGGTTTTAGGTCCCAAAATCCATACTCTGAATGGTTTTTGGGCCTTGAAACCCTACTATTTGGGTACTTGGACCCTTAGGGAGAACGCATCGGAAGGGTATAAAGGGGGCGTTTTCCCAAGGGTCCTTTGGCCAGGTTTCAGATGGTTGCAGCGATAGGCCATAGAAGAGATCTCACCACGATGTTTAAAACAAGATTGTTGTTGGGAAGCTCTGTATGTTACTGTTGAGAGGGTCTTCTGGCTGTCCTTTTGCCGGGCCATGTTCTGTTTCAACCGAAAGAAGCCTTAAAGCTTCTCCTTGCGGAATGTGGAGTCTTCTCCACATGATTACGTGGCTTCCACGGCAAAGGATCACTTTCGAATCAGAAAGCTTGCATGCGCACTCACAAAAGCAGAGGAAGTCGTATTGAGTCTTTCATGTTGCATCGCCATAAGACCACTCGGTCATGCTGGCAGTGCTAAGCGGTTGCCGCGAGAAAGCAGCAACAGACGGCCGAGGAGTAAGACGTAAAGGATTCCTGGTAGAGTTTTTCCGGTCGAGTTTCAGCTTGAGCTGCAACGAAGTAATGTGAGCTGCGCCCATTCTTTGTTCACTGCACATGTTCTGCTACACATGTTTGCGAGTTTGTTTTACTCAGACAACAAAGAATTTGCAGCCAGTCGTCCTTGCAGAGTTGTAGTGTTGCAGTGAGACGCGCAAAACATTTGTCATCTTTGTTGGCTCCGAAGAACAGGGTTTTCACAAAGGCAGCGCGCCTTTCTAGGCGACACAAGTCTTGCTAGTTTTCGACGATGCCGTCGCAGCGCCAGCTCAGTGCCCAAGATGCGGCAGTGAACTTGGAAAGGCGCAGCACAGAGCAGCTCCTCAAGGCACAGAAGGGGGAAATCAAGCAGGTGATGGACTTGCGGCCTCAGGTGGTGCAGCATCTGCTGAGCAAGTTGGATGCTCTCGCTGTGGTTGCCGGACAATCTGAATCCCAAAAGGGCCCCCTTTGATAAAGGCCCCCTTGAGGCTTTGCCGAACGCAGAGAGCCGAAGCCCTGATCTGCAGGGTTTCGGGTTTAGGGTTTAGGGCTTAGGGCATTTCAAGGTTTTAGGGTTTAGGGTTTAGGGCTACATTATATTATTAAGGCCTATTCCTTAATTAAAGGGTATTGGGCACTTTGGGAAGAACGACGAAGGCTTGAATGCCGATGCCCGAAGCCTGTAGCGAAACCCCTGAAGCCTAGACCCTAAACCCCAAACCCTAAGCCCTAAGCCAAGCCCAAAACCCTAAGCCCTAAACAGCTAAACCTTAAACCCTAAACCCTAAACCCAGAAACCCCAAACCCTAAACCCCTAAAGCTTAAACCCGTAAAGAGCCTATAGACCCCAAGACTCCATGTACCTTTAGAATAGATACTTAGGCCTTAAAGGGGTCCCTATATAGGTACTTTAAGGCCTAAGTATCTACTATATGGGTACATGGAGCCTTAGGGCTATAGACCCCCAGACTCTGCATCGACTTCAGGCGCCCGCCGAGGATTCGACAAGCATCTCTCCGGCAGCAGTTCTTCAGGCGCGTAATGTGGGCCTAACCTTAAGGACGAAATGAACCCTAAAAGGGTTTAAGGTTCATATACTATATAGGGATTTATAGTATAAGGGTATAGGGACCCTACTTTTAAGGGTCATTTCGTCCTGAGAGTTTAGAATAGGGTTCTGGTGTGTATCATTCTATAGTTATAGCAATGAATATAGACGCCTAAACAATTACCAATACCATTTGGGGGGGCTCCTTATTATAGCTATGGTGTAATGGGCCCCAAAACCCTATTCTAATTATATGCGGGATTTGATAATTAGAATTGGGTTTTGGGGTATATTGTTATATAGCTATAATAAGGAGCCCCCAAAACCCCAAACCCCAAACCCTAAACCCTGAACCCTATTCTATTTATGAACGCCCCTACATTATGACTACACGGATGGCAAGCCGTCTAATCAGCAGCTAAGGGCTGGCGAGGGCTCAAGTCACCCAATCCCTTCCAAGAGCCTCCGAGCCTCTAAGCCCGGCTACAACCCCCCCCCCTTTTAAAGGGTTCCTTAAACGGGTTCTTTATAAGGGCTACTGTCAGGGTTTATATGGTTTAGGGGTTCCTTGAAGGGTTCTTTGTAAGGGCTACTATAAGGGTTTATATGGTTTAGGGGCCTTAATAGTTAGAATAGGGTTTTGGGCCCTTAAACCCTATACCCTGAGGCGTATATCGACCTAGACCACCCAAGAACCACCACAAGCATCTCGAGCACCAGGAGCACCAGGACCACCATGACGACCCTAAGCCCTAAACCCTAAGCCCTAAGCCCTAAACCCTAAACCCTAAGCCCTAAGCCCTAAGCCCTAAACCCTAAGCCCTACGCCCTAAACCCTAAGCCCTACGCCCTAAGCCCTAAGCCCTAAACCCTAAACGAGGAGACCACCAGGAGATCACCAGGAGACGAGCAGGAGACCGGAAACCACCGGAAGATCAGGAGACCCGGGGATGCCAGCAAGGGTGTAGGAGACCATGGGGTTTAGGGTTTAGGGTTTGGGGGTTTAGGGTTTAGGGGTTAGGTTTAGGGTGGACCGCCGGAAGACTGCTTTGCCCCAAATACTGGCTGGAGTAGGATCACTGCCAAAATGCTTCCAAGAAATACTGGTGGGATGAAAAGTTTTCGTGGCCAAAAGGTGGACGTACATGGGAATCTGCAATGAATCTAGCTTTCAGGTCGACGGGGCCCAAAAGATCGGGTCTCGTCAAATTATACGACCGGTATACACCACAACACAGCACTTAATTATAGGCTGTGACAGAAACCCAACCCCTTCAATGGAGTCTTGAAAGGACTCAAACCTCCTTAGGAACCCGTTTCGAAACCCTTTGCAAAACCTAGTCAGGTAGAAGGTGCGGCTTTTCCGGTCAGACTGTTCCCGCACGCATTTGGCCCACATTAAAGGAATTCTTAAAAGGACCCCCTGGAACCCTTCTAGGAACCCTTGTTGTAGTATTCCAAAAGGGCCCCTTGAAACCCTCCACGGAACCCTTACAGTAATCCATCAAAGGACAACGGGAGTTCTTAACAGGGCCCTCCCTGCACGACGACCACCGGAAGTCTCCCCGCAAGGCCCTCCAATCCCTGAGCGGCGAGGAGATTGGAGAGCAATGCAGCTTAGGGTTAAGGGTGTAGAGGGCTTGTAGGGGTGTTAAGTTTGGGTATGTTCGGGGTTTATAGGGTTTTGGGTTCCAGTCCTTGGGTTCTTTTGGGTGTT